GGGGGGGGGACACTTTCAGAAATTCCACTCCTTGCATCTTCATTTTTTAGAAAACTTTCTGGAATTCCAGCTTTAAAGTTGTGGAAAAAAAAGAGCAAGTTTCTTTTATCTTTTCTGGGATCTAAAGTCGAGTTTTCTTGACTTCATTTGCTGCTCGTTCTTCATTCTTGCTGGTTTTCTGTTGCTGTTTGGTTCTTGCTGCACTTTCTCAACTTCAGAGGCTTATTTTTTGTTTTCTTTACTTATTTGGTTCTGCTGGAATAGGTCAGTTTCAAGCCTTATGTATTGCATTTGCATTGAATGACCAAATATGTTTATGTTCATGTTGATTCTTGCGTGTTTTGGTTTGTTGGTACCCTAATATCTGGCTTCATGAGTTGTTTAATTCAAACGTGATTGAAATAGTGAAATTAATTTGAAATGTTGCAATCGTTTGAGTTAATCCAATGTTTCTGATTATTCAAGCATTTTTCATTAGCTGCTGAATTTGTTAAGCTTGAATGAGATCAAGGTTCTCTGTTTCAATCTTGCAAGCTTGATAACAGTTCAAACAGAAGTTTCATTATGATGTTCTGTACATAACTATGTGTTGATTTTAGGCTACCAAGAGCTTCATCATTGTAGTTTGCGGATCTAACCACTAGTTGGTCAGATCAGTAAATTCCAAGGCCATGGAATGGATTCAAAGTTCAGCAGAAAGAGGTTTAGGTTGAAGATTTAGTTATATTTTGTTTTGAGTTAGCTTTTAGTATAACTGATTCTGGTTCTGTATGCTTTTAGTATAAATAAATTTGGTTTTGTAAGTATTTAAAAATAGTTGAGTCTATTACCCCTATGAGGATTGTAATTGGAATGGCCAGTAAGTGTGAAAAGAATCTTATCATGACACTCATATCAATTAAGTGGTGATTGAATGTTTTATAGCTCTCATAATTTGTATTGTGGTTTCAAAACTTTAAAAATTGATCTTGTTTTAGTGATAGCTTGCAATGTCGTATGGCTCTCGTATTTGAATTGTTGTTTCAAAACTTTAAGAGGTGATCTTGTTTTAGTGATAGCTTGCAATGTCGTATGGCTCTCGTATTTGAATTGTTGTTTCAAAACTTTAAGAGGTGATCTTGTTTTAGTGATAGCCTGAAAAACTGGTACAAAAATCTATTTTTTGAACATATTTTTGGCTTGAAACAATTGGATGTATAATGGGCTAGACATGCGAAATCAACCCATTAAGGGTATTGACAAGCAGGTCTGAATTTTGGAGGTCATTGGGCCTATAAATTGGCCCATACAAATTTTATGCAAGTCCTCATGCTCCATTAGGCTTTAGTAATTTCAGCCGTAATTTCTTCCAATAATTTGTTGATCCACTATCATAACTTATCTCTTATATATATACCTAATTTCCAAATGATCAAGTCTGGAATATTTTAGTAGGCCCATTTCCAAATTATTGTCCCTCAATAACATCCCATAACTAATGGACAGCTATAGGCAAAAAATCCAAACTTAGCAAAACTCAATCAGCTTGTAAATATTCGTAGAAATGTTGTTAGACACGTATTTAACCGAACTACCGCAGTTATGTACACGTCCGCGTGACATGATTATGATTTAAATATGAATACTCGTAGAAATACTTTAAGGCGCGGCTTAAATTATTATTGTGATTGCGTACACGTTCGCGTGACATAATTATGACTTCCGAAATTAAATTGAAGTATGCGTTTGCGCAACTTCAGCCAAACAATCTTTATTAATAAAGCAAGATTAATTGTGTACATGTACGCGTGACATGATTTTAACGCCCTAAATAAAGCGAATTTACACACATGTAATCCGTTTTAAAGATAAATCCATAAACGCCATAATTAAAAGCACTAAAAGATAAAATGCACTTATGTTTAAAATACGTAATAAAATAATTTAATTAAGCTAGGTATGATTAAAGCGACCGTGTTAGAACCACGGAATCTGGGAATGCCTAACACCTTTTTTCGGGTTAACAAAATTCCTTACCCGGTCTTCTGGTTTCGTAGACTTTAAACGGAGTCAATCTTCCTCTATTTGGGATTTAAAATAAATCGGTGACTTAGGACACCATAAACTATTTCAAGTGGCGACTATGAATTAATGAAATAATCTCGTTTCGAATAATGTCACTTTAATTGGAAAAATTCCTCTATCTTCCTCGAAAAAAAGAAAGTGTGACACTTCTGATTTAGTATTTTGGAAAAAGGTAGTCAATAATGAGATTCAATCAATTTTGGATAACCATACATGGGAATTGATTGATCTTCCTTCAGAAAATAAGCTTTTAGGTTCGAAATGGATCCTTAAGAGAAAAATAAAAGTTGATGACACTATTGACAAATATAAGGAAAGATTTGTTGTCAAAGGCTATAGACAAAAGGAAGACCTTGATTACTTTGACACTTACTCGTCAGTAACGAGGATGACATCTATTAGGGTGTTAGTGGCACTAGCAGCTGTCTATGGTCTTGAAATCCATCAAATGGATGTTAAACAGTTTTCTTAAATTGAGAGTTGGAGGAAGAAATTTACATGAAACAACCTGAGGGTTTTGTGGTTCCTGGTAAAGAAAAGAAAGTATGCAAACTAGTTAAGTCGCTTTATGGACTTAAACATGCACCCAAACAATGACATACTAAATTTGACCAAATAATGTTGTCAAATGGTTTTAAAATCAACGAGTGTGATAAATGTGTTTACATTAAACACACTCTAGGTCATAAAGTCACTGTTTGTTTATATGTTGATGACATGTTGATAATGAGCAAAGATATGACAGATATAAATGCTACTAAGCGCATGCTAGCTAGCAAATTTGACATGAAAGACTTAAGAGTTACTGATGTAATCTTAGGAATCAAAATTCACAAGACTCCACAAAATCTAGCATTAGCACAATCTCACTATATTGAAAAAGTACTTAACAAGTTAAGTATTTGAATTTCAAGATTGCCAAGACTCCAATTGACGCGAGTTATGCACTTCAAAAGAATGAAAGTGAAAGTAACTCACAACTGGAGTATGCAAGAATATTTGGAAGTTTGATGTATATCATGAATTGTACCGACCAGATATAGCATGTGCTATTAGCAAACTGAGTCGGTTTACAAGTAATCTCAATCAAATACATTGGATGTCAATGAAACGTGTTTTGGGGTATCTGAAACATACCCAAGACTATGCTCTGCATTATAACAAATATTCCTCCGTGATTGAGGGATATAGTGATGCAAATTGGATCACCGGATCATCTGAAGTTAAATCCACAAGTGGATATGTTTTCACAATTGGGGGTGGAGCACTGTCTTGGAAATCATCCAAACAAACGTGCATCGCCCGTTCTACAATGGAATCTGAATTCATAGCTTTAGACAAGGCCGGTGAAGAAGCTGAATGGATCCAAAATTTCTTGGAAGATATTCCATTTTGGCCCAAACTCTTGGCACCTATATGTATACATTGTGATAGTCAAGCAACAATAGGTATGGCATAGAGTGTTAAGTATAACGAAAAATCTCGTCACATACAATGGAGATACAATACAGTTAGACAACTACTCTCTAGTGGTGTTATCACGATTGACTGCGTGAACTCAAGAGATAATGTATCAGATCCACTTTAAAAAGGCCTATCTAGAGAGGCAGTTGAAAGATCATCGAAGGGAATGGGGTTAAGGCCCAGGACAAGTCATTATGGCGGTAACTCTACTTAGCAAACTGGAGATCCTAAGAGCTAGGTTCAAAGAGATCAAATAAAGCTATGAATGACGGTTCAACATTGTCAAATAACTCAACTCATTCTCGTGATGAAGACAATGTTTAAAAATCAGGATAAAGCATTAAGGCTTTTTTATGAGTCAATAAAGCTTAAAACTTCTTAATGATTTGCTAAGTCTGACAGTAAATGAGCAGATAGTGTGTCTATAGGATTATATGTTTAGAAATCACCTATGTGAGTGTGAAGCGTAAGCCGCTTCAAGGGGAATGAAAGTAAAGGCCCATTCTTTAAGCACTCATGAAACCACGCGGTGTTCATGGCTAAAATGAATATAACTGTGAGAACCATATATGGTTAACGGTTGATTGTGTAACTTATGTTGTCTAGGTATACAACAAAGCTCGACGGTTCAAAGATATTAAATTTACCGATTGACCGAGTATATCCGATATAAGTTCACTACGAAAGTTCAAAGGAAAACCTACTTATCGAGATGCAATTAGTCCTTGCATGTAAATCACACACTCGTCTGTGCATTTCTTTATCTTATAGTCATTCCCCATTCATGTGGGGGATTGTTGGGATTGAAGTTTGGTGAATTGAAAATTGAGGGAAGAAAGTGAAGAGAAAGTGAGTTCCCTTTTCCTTTGGAAAGAGCAAGTGTCCCTCATTCGTGGTGAAAAGAAAAGGGAATGTGCTTATATTGAGAAAGTACTTCCCTTGGTGTTAAATGATTGGAAAGAAAGTAAGCATCGCGCCGCCGTCGTCATCGCTCGCCCGACTTCGGATTCGGATTCGGTCAAAGATTGATTGATTAATCTTTTTAGATAATTATTTAATTAATTAACGAAAAGTCATCCCGGAATAACCCAGGACCCACCTGTTCCAATAGCTATGGCTGTTTCTGAAAGGTTGCAAACTTTTTAGAAAACAGTGCTAGAAAATGGCTATAAATATGCCTTGATCCTCTTTCTTTATGAAATTTTCTGATTTTCTTCATCTTCTTCTATGCAAATAAATTCAGTGTGATTTACAACCATTAAGTGGTTCGCAGTTCATCAGAGTTATGTTAGTGAAAACTTGGTTTTGGTTAGTTGATGAAGATTGTGACTGATTTAGGTGAATATTGGTTGGTTGTTATCTGTTTATGAGACAATTTTTTTTTTGAATAGGTACTAAAACAGAGGAAACTCTGCAAGATTTTTTATAAAATACCGATGAGGCTTACTTGGGGGCACTTGTACCTAAGCGCCGGTCATAATCCTAAATTAGGTCATGACAATATTTAAGGTGTTGACCACCGATAACAATAGCATAAGAAAATGGACAAAATCGCTAAAGTTCATCTAACTTATGCCTATCGTGAACAAAATACTAGACTGATGAACGTAAGAGTAAAGCCAAAGCAACAGTACTATTTATATTATTTGTGAGTGCGGCCTAACTCCCGATGAGGTATGAGTTTCAAGGTATTATAATATAAGTAGGCTAGAGCCCTCCAAAAAATTTACATACACCAAGGAAACTACCACATAATGATATTATTGTATAAACATTTCTTATATCATTATCTAACAGATACAATTTTCTGAATATTACTTGACTTGACACTTATTTAGAAGATAAGATAATACAACTAATAAAATTATTTAAATATATGGGCCACCTTAAAGTCTCTTAATAGAGACGTAACTCTCTAACAATTGGCCCACATATTATAGTTAGGCAATCTTTTATGATTTCCAAACCTAATAATATAGTCATACACTTTACCGTCAACTACTTAATTGTGCAACACTTAACCTTATTTAGAAATATTAAGGTATGAATTAGAGAGGTCATGCACTTAAAGAAACACTTTATTACCCGTAAGTACCTTAATGTTAGCTTATAGGAATACATTCAAACCCTATAACAATATCGTTATATTGTTCCGATATTCTTTGGCTTATATAGTGAATGATTGTTATACACCTATAATAACATTTGATGTTTTATATTTTTTAATTGTTATAACCAAAAATTATCCAAAAGTTAATTTTTTTTTATGTTGCATATAAAAAATAAAAAAATTATTCAAATTTAAATAGTCAAAAGATATACATATTTCACTAATTAATTACTAAAGAAAGCTAATATATTACAAATAAATTCATAATTAAATGCACAAAGATTTAAACTCTAAGGCACACATTTTAAAGCTTCTAGAAGATTAAATTCTTTCAAGATTAATAGAAAAACTCTGTAATTGTAGTTTGTTTAATAGATTCAAGTCTCTTACAAGAGATATAACGCTTGAATTGGCGAAAATTTTGTCTAAACTTTCAGCAAAAGGATATCTGAAAGCTTTCTCGGCAATCAAAGAATTTAACAATTGAGTTTTCTATCTCAGTTCAAGGAGTAATAGGTTGAGGTTAAAATCTTTAAGCTTATTATTGGTGATCTTAGAGATTCTACACGGTTGTTATAGAGAGAGAATTTTACAAAGAGTGTAGTGCTATAAAGATGGATGTTACTGTTATAGATGAAAAGTTATTATAGAGTTAAATATAGCATAAAAATCGATTCTGAGAAAAAAAAAAATTGCTTTTAATTATAGTGAATGAATGTTATATAATGATATTGTTATAGAGGTATGATTGTAAGTACTTTAATGTTTACTTAACTCATAAATAAAATAAAAAATAATTATAAGCTAGTTTGACCATTTTTGTAAATTTACTCAAACACCCTCAAACCAGACTTACCTGATTGAAGAACATAAAACCAAGGTCAAGATGGACGCCATCGACGGTAACAGTCTTGGCGTGGCCACCGAGATAATCTTCCTTCTCATAAACCACAACTTTCACCCCAGATTTTGCCAATTCATATGCACAAACCAGTCCACTTATTCCTGCCCCAACCACTGCTACTTTCATTTTGAACCTGAGGCTTCAAGTTCACAACTGCAATAACAATTAAGATGAGATCATTGAGGTAAAATGACAAGAAGTTAAGAAAAGATAGTACAGTCTTGAAGTTTAAGAAATAAAGAAATACTTCTGAAACTTTAGGTTTAAATATGCCACGAACATTTATATTACTATATAATTATATCATTAAGGATAAAATAATAAGTTAAAAATTAAATTTTTACTAAATATAAATAGATATGTATCATTCATTCCGATTGACTAAAAAAGAAAGTGCCTCCAGGTACTAACAGTACCTTGTATTTCCAACTTTTCAAGAACTGAGTATGACCCTGAAGCTGAGAGAGTGGTGATTGGGGGGGAG